AATCAAGTTCATCTAACAAATCCTTCAAGCTTTATCAATCAAAGTCTTTCAAGTTTCAAGGGGTGACGTTAACAAAGGTTATGCTACAAATGCTTATAGTCCCCTAGCACGTACGGACTTTCAAAAGTTGTGCTACAAATGCTTATAGTCCCCTAGCACGTACGGACTTTCAAAGGTTGTGCTACAAATGCTTATAGTCCCCTGGCACGTACGGACTTTCAAAGATATGAGGTTTTATTTTTTATTTTAATGTTGTTATTTTGTTGTTCTTATTACTGTTATAATGTTTGGTCCATTGGTGACAGCTACATCACCAAGGGATGCTCCCCTCGCTAATAAATGTTATGGTGATATGAGTTTTCATGCTGGGCAACTGAATGCAGACGCTGGTGCAATTTGCTTTCTTTACAACTGCTGTAATGCTCATTTCTTTTATATAACAGCATTAACCTTTGGAAGTGATTCAGGATAGGATGGTTGATAATTTTGAACTTCTTTCTTCTGTTAGAGTCTTGATTCTGTTTCTTTTTCTTTGCAATAGGAAAACTTGTTGGGCACCAACCAGGTCTTGGCCGAGGTCCCACACCTCCTTGCCGAGGTGTGGCCCCCGATGGCCACATTCAAGGAAATGAAGTCGGGAATATCTGGGTTTCCCTTTCTTGAAGAACATGAACACGAAGAACATGGATGCAAAGATCATAATTTATCATTACAAAATCTGAGATTTCATGCTATGAATTCAAAAACATGGACCTGGGTACCAATACCCGAAGATTTTATGAAAACAAACACAAAACATGAACCTTGATGCAAACTTTCGGATCAAACAAGACCTTTTCTTCAAGAGCACATGAATACCACTTTCTCTTTCTAAACCCAACTTTAAATCGATGCATGGCTTGCAAATCAAGTTCGATCATGCAATGCAACTAGATGATCAATAAGAACAACAAGAGTAGATTAAGATTCTAACCTCAAAACACGAATCAAACGGTTTGAACCCTAAGGATCAAGCTTGGAAATCTATTCCTCGTCTAAGAACTTCTTCTTCTTCTTCTAGAGCTTCTCTCTCCTCACAAGCAAAGACATATAGCAAATGATACATTTCTAGGTCTGCTGGCTGACTTAACACTCAGCTCGGACACGTGGCAACGGCTGGTTGGCTCTCCTCAGAAAGGTGATAGATTGACAAGACAAGATTATGACAAGGTGTGTTCAACAAACAAGATGGCATGGGCACTCCGGCAGGTAATGATCTCGGCTAAGGACAAGGCATCGGCAAGTAGGGAAACAATGATCTCGGCTAGGAAGGACAACATTTGACCTAGCTGTGCCGCACCTTGGCCTAGATGTACCACACCTCGGTCTAGGTCATACCACTCCAGGACAAGATCACTTAGGTGCAAAGGTAACATCTCGGCCTAGATAATACACATCTCGGCCTTGGTGATGAACACCTCGGCCTTGGTGATGAACACCTCGGCTTAGATAATTGACATCTCGGCCAATATGTCAAGGCGAAGGTGGAGGTCAAACAAAGTGGTTCCAAGATAATTCTAGACTGAAGTTGATCTCGGCTAAACTTACACCAAGCAAGGTACAAAATATGCAAGAAACACTTAAGCAAAACAAATCAAGGTTTGCAAAATACAACATATCAAGACAAGATCATGTAATATATGCAAGCATGACTAGAGTAGAGTGAGGGTTGTTACAGTCTGCAACGAGGAGCTGGGGAAGCAAAGTTGGAAATGGAAGGGAATTAAAGAATCTGGTTAGCAACATTAATTATGACGGTAGAGATAAAGGGAGTTGGAGTGGAGGGAAGTAGAGGAGGGGCTTGATGTTGGTATTGTATGGATTTTTGGTCAGGCATTTTTTTAATGGTCTTTAAGGTGTCTATGGATGATTAGGATGTAGGTTTCTTTTTGTTTTGTTTTGCCTTTGTACTTGAATGGTGTCCCCATGGCACTTTCTTTAATCTAAATTTTGCTTAATTATAAAAAAAACGGTTGTTTTTTGTCGTCCTATTAATTGTATACAGTATGCTTGTTTGTTTTATTTTTATCTTAATACTTAAAATTAATTTAAGTTTTTTTTTTTTAAATTTTCTCTCCACAACCGGGGGGCATGCTTGTTTTTTTATTTTTATTTTTTGTATTGTTCTTTTTATTTGTTGTTTATGTTGTTGTTGTCCATTGGTGATAGATATCTACACAACCGGGAGATGGGGTTATTGCTCCCTTTGCTAATAAATGTCCTGGTGATATGAGGTTTTATTTTTTATTTTAATGTTGTTATTTTGTTGTTCTTATTACTGTTATAATGTTTGGTCCATTGGTGACAGCTACATCACCAAGGGATGCTCCCCTCGCTAATAAATGTTATGGTGATATGAGTTTTCATGCTGGGCAACTGAATGCAGACGCTGGTGCAATTTGCTTTCTTTACAACTGCTGTAATGCTCATGTCTTTTATCACCAGAGTCCCACCTTTGGAAGTGATTCAGGATAGGATGGTTGATAATTTTGAACTTCTTTCTTCTGTTAGAGTCTTGATTCTGTTTCTTTTTCTTTGCAATATGCTCTGCTTTGGCTGTTTTCTTTGGTGAAAGTGAAGTTAAAAGATTGCAATTTGGCAGCTTGAGTTTCTTTACATAATTAGTAGAGTTGACTGTAGGAAATTATGTAATGCTTGATGATTTAATGCTTTTTCATTGTCAACTATCAGGTCACGGGCCTATCTTTGATATTTCTTGTAACTGTGTTTACTTGTTTTCTGTGTAATGCAGGCAGCATTGTGCTCTATAAGGATTATAAAGAAAGTCCCGGACCTGGCAGAAATTTTTATAAACCCTGCTGCTGCTTTACTTAAGGAAAAGCACCATGGAGTTTTAATAACCGGACTCCAGCTCTGCACAGATCTATGTAAAGTCAGTTCAGAAGCTCTTGAATGTTTTAGAAAGGTAACTTGATCATGGCAATATGTTTTTTCATTTTTCGATAAATAAACAAATTTTATTAGAAAAGCATCAAGATGATGCAAATAACACAAAAATGAAGCCTAGAACAGCCCAAAGCCTAACTAATCAAAGCATCTACAAAATCAACAAAAGGTAACACATCCGGATCTACCGCAACCGTAACCGAACTATGAAGCACAGTGAGCAACCGGCGCCCCAATCACGGGACCGGCTGAGACACACCATGAAAAATACGCCTATTTCGCTCCAATCCTATCAACCACATCAAACAATGCCCTGCAAGCAACCATTCCTTATGACGCCTCTTCCCAACCCTCCCCCCAGCCCAACTCTGCAACACAGCCAACACCGAACCAATATGTTGTCTATATAACTAAAATAAGGCGAGCATACTTATGCCATATGAGCTTTACATGAGTCTTTGTTTGTCTAGTATTAATGAAACTAACAAGATAATTATAAAATGCTGTTCTTCTTTATGTTTATGGTCCATGCTGGAAACAAATCAATATATATTTTGTACCATGTTCGCTAGAACTTACATCTCTATGTGATTGAACCTTTGAATTGAGATTTAGAGTTAAGGTTGTTTTGTGACCTGGTTAACAAACTCATTTTTTCATCAAAGATTGATTACCCACTATTGATGAGGTTAATATAAACTACAACTTAGCATCTTTTTTTTTTGGCCAATCCTGAGATGCCGTGGTTAGGCTGCCACCCCACCTTTGTTATAGCTCCAACTAGGGCATCAATGTTTGTTCCTTTGTACCTCCTCTTGGACAGGCAGCAAAGTGCTGCTTACAATGCCATTCTAACTGTTGATGTGATTGCTGGAAATTTTAGATTTTTGTTTGCCGTACTCCTGCTATTATATTTGGTATCTTTTCATTTGTTAATGCATATGTATAGGAAGTTGTTTTCTCAGCAACATACACTTGTGAGGCCATGTTCTAACTATTGGAATACAACAGTAATGAATATATCCTTCTCTACTTCATGGTTAAAACTCCAAGTGTTGGACTACTGCGAGGGGTAGTTCTCTATGTAAGCTTCTCACTTGTTGACTTGTTGCCTATGAGAACCCTTATTCTAGTGCATGTAAAGTATTGGAGCATCCATTATTGTTTAAAGAAGATATTGAGCAACTTCAATGGCAAACGCATCAGATATCCACACAAGATGGCAGTTCAATGTAGCTTAGGTTTTCAATTACTTTTTTCTTTTTAAACTAGTCTTGATTGATGCCTTGGCACATGCTGGTGTGCTATGAAGGCACTTATTGGGTTGGGCCATCAATGCATATGTACTTTTTATTTTACCTTTTTTGTTTTTTCATACAGTTCGGTGTTGTTATTTGAAATCAAACTGCTACACATTTTGATAAAATTGTGACTAATGAGATGCGGATCATCCTACAAGCCCAATGTTATAATTGGCATGAGGAGCATAATCAAAGAAAACAAGTACAAGTATGAAAATCATGAGAGCAAAAGGGAACTGTAGCCTACCCATCTGTAGGAGGCATCAAAATTGAAATCCCGATAAGGAATTATGATACCAAGGCTTAAAATTGTTCTGAGGCTTATAATTATTGAGGTAGATTTTTTTTTTTTTGGAATTCCTTGTTTGTCTATTACAGGTGATGGACAGTATCTGGATTTACGCCTATAGTCTTGGACCAGGTTCCCCGCGTTAAAGATACGAATTTTGTTTATTAATGGCTCTAAAACTACTTTATAAATTATAACAGCATTATAAGTATTATTGCGGGATTCTTGGTAAAGTTTATTAGGAAATCTCTTTGCCATGAAAGAAGGTAATTTTTTGTGTCAGCAGAGTCATTGACTTAATTTTGATGGTGGATAAACTGTCACAAAGGCAAGTTTGTTTGTAGAAATAATTTGACTATACCGTTTTAGTGCATTTTAAAGGGAGAGAAAAAACAAGGTTGCCAAGTTCCAATTCTCTGGTCAGATTTTTAATGCACAAGATTTACACTTCTATATGATTGTAGAAATGCACAGAGAGTGTGGTCAAAGCCCTAAAGGACATTGTGAGCAGTCCATATGCACCTGAATATGACGTCTCTGGGATTGCAGATCCTTTTCTCCATATCAGATTGCTCAAGTTTTTGCGAATATTAGGCCAAGGAGATGCAGATGCTAGTGAACGGATGAATGACATCCTTGCTCAGGTCAGCTGCTTTGTCCTACTTTATCTCCTGCTATCATTCATGTAATATTTCTTGAAAAATGTAAATTAAATTATTGGCAGTCTGTTCAAACTATTTTACTATTTATTATTATTGTTGTAATTACGATTATTATTATTTAACCTAAAATTCTTTTCCAACTGAGGTGGCAATTTGCTTCCATGTCATGTTCAGTGAATGAAATCTAGATTACTTTTTTTAATATTTTCTTTTCTTATTTCTTATTTCTCTTCATATTCTCTGATTTTGTAACTGTCCAAATTATTACCTGCATTCAATGTTCCTTCATCTGCCTAATGCCTTGATCTGCAATTAGTATGTACTTAATGAGAAAAACTACCTTGGCAATCTTCTGTATTGTGTTGTGCTCCTGTACACACGTGTTTTTTAAAATGCTCATTGCTCTCACATACTCAATAATAAAAATCACCTTGTTCCACAATCTCCTTAAATGCTTTGCAGTCTTACATACTATGTTTTTATGCTCCAAGTCTCCGTTCGATTAATGGATACTATCTTTTTGTTCTGATGGTGCATGCTCTAATCAGTTATATATATGTAGCATTGTTTTCATTATTCCTTTTATCAATGTTTAAGTGAATAAGCATATTTTATTATGGTTGCTCTTTATAATTCTTGACTGATGGAACTTAGTGCTGAAAGTTCTTGATTATGAATGTTTAGAGAATGTAATGTGTTCATAAGACAAATTCTAATGATACTCGTGACATTCTGTATTCCATCCCCAGGTTGCGACAAAAACTGAGTCAAACAAAAATGCCGGAAATGCCATTCTGTATGAATGTGTCGAAACTATCATGAGCATTGAAGATAGTGGCGGTTTGCGGGTGCTTGCTGTCACTATCTTGGGAAAATTCCTGTCAAACCGTGACAACAATATCAGGTAGTTCTTTGTTCATTTTGCGCTAGTCCTATCTTATTCTAGGGCATGATCTTTGTGATTGATATCTGGTCTTTGAGAAACCACAAAATGTATACTTGATGTGTAGCTACCGTTTGCATTAATGCAAAATGGACTTTTGTTAAAGATTGGTTAGAAAAATTTTACATCTGAGGGGCCGTGGCTTGGTTGATCTACAGAAGCTCGAGTTGAAAAGCATAAAAATGCGGATTCGAGATTAAAGCCAATTTGTGTAAAATGAAATCTGGAGTTTAGTTTGTACCCAGTCTACCTATCTAGCATACTGAATAGTAGAAACATCACTGGGTATTGGCTAATGTCTCCATGGTTGATAAAAATCTGAGCATTGGCTTACATAATTTGTTAAACAGAAGCGCAATTTTGTTTAAGTTTGATTATTTCAGTGCATGGACTTTTCACAGCCTCCTAAAGTGACTACTGATACGTTTACGTTTTCTATTGTTCTCTGGGATCTTTTGGGAACCAAATAGTAGTGACGTGGTCCTTTCTACATTGACCTTTGCAATTGTTTCAATCTTTGTATTCTGTACTTCTATTCTGTTAGTTCATGTAATCTAGATGTGCCCTTATGGTTGTTTTCTGGCTATTTCATACTGGTTAGTTTGTATTGAATCTGACACAGTTGATTCTCAACTTTTCTGTCAGATATGTTGCTCTGAACATGCTGATGAAAGCTACAGTAGATACACAAGCAGTGCAGAGGCATCGAGCAACAATCTTGGAATGTGTGAAGGTATTGTATAGGAAGGCTTGATATCTAGCTCATTTAACAGTCTAAAGATCTCCAGTTGTATGCATTCTTAGTTGTTATCATTTCTACACCTGGTGGCAGGGGGACACAAGGGCCAAGAGGGGGGAGAACATGGCTCAACTGACTTTTAAAAAACCCTATACCCGGTTTATCAGAGGGACTCTCCTAAAATTATGTGATAACCCATCAATATATATATTTTGTTAAATTTTCATACTAGGTGTGGCTTTATAAGGTTTTATAAGTCAAAACCCTACATGCTGTCCATGCATAAAAAAGATGAACATATTTTTATTTAACCTTGTTCCCGAGAAAATTTAGGAAAAAGAATATTTACACTTAAATTGAATTTAGGAAAATGTATATTTACACTTAAATTGGTTTTATTTTAAGAATGGCCAGAACCAGGCTTCCGCCATCACTTTTGGACATCCGGAGTGAGAGATCCGGATAGTAGTTATCTGCTCTGCAACCTAGTGGACGCTCGCCAAGGGTCATAGGACGTCTAAATTGGGAGACGCCAAATACTGTTGTCCCACGACGTCAGCTGTGGACATTTGGATGTCACACCGGACATCTATGGTCACGTCCAGTCGTCACACTGAATGCTAAAAGCAATGTCCGCAGACTTGAAACTGGGTTTCTCAGTCCAGAAATCCATAACCTAACCCAAAAGTTACAAATCCAAAAGGCTCCAAAGCACAAGTCCAGGTATTTAAGATTTCAAATTATCGAGTGCAATCTATATCTAGGTCCGAAGTTCTCAAACTACTAGTCTCGAGTTTCAAATCTCAAATACACAGCTCAATTTAAGTTTCTTTAAGTTGATTCTTTTTCATTTATATACCAGATTTAGGCCCAAATAAACTATTCTATGCCGTCTGTGTGGTGCTAGTGAATTTTCATGTAAATGAAGATTAGATGGAGAACCTGAAAAGAACGTAGAAAATTAAATTCTTACCTTGTAAACAATCTTTTCCAATTTTTTCTTGAATTTTCTTTATTTTATTCATTTGTTTCTTCTTCTTATCTCTCTCCCTATACTCTTTCTCACTTTTTAACCCTCTCTCAAATAGAATTTGGGGGAGCAGAATGGGAGGCTTGTCTTAATTTTCTCTTCTGCAATTTTTTTCTTTACAATCCAAGCATGAGGAATTCAAGCAAGGAGGTGTGGATGGTGGATGTTGGATTTTTCCACTGACTCTACCAAGCATGAGGCGTCTTCTTGTGGTTTGACCTTATCCATGAAGCTTAATCCAAGTCGTTAAGGTTTAACGGATTGCTTCATTAAGTGACTTAGGCCTCGTTTGGGAGCAGATTTTTTTAGTAATTTTTTGACTTTTTGGCTAAAATGTGATGTAAAAAAAATTAGTATGTTTGGGATGACTTTTTAACTTTTTATGAAAAGATATGCAAAAAGTAAAGATAAAAGAGAATCTTTGACTTTTTGGTATGGGTTGTTAACTTTTTTATTTTTTTAGTAACTTTTTGACTCTTTAACTAAAAAAGCCACTTGCCAAACGAGGCTTTAATCTTGTCTCATCACTTCTTATGCCGCGTTTGGGAAGACTACAAATTTACACACAATTAATATTAATTTATGGTGGAAGTTGAAACCAAACAATATCTAAACTTAGTGGGACCTACACTTAAATATATTCAATTCCTTAATTAATTTTTGATTAAACATGATTAACATAATCATTTAGTAACTAAGAAAATTTACATTTTACCTTTAAAAATTCCTTCTGCATTTACGTGGGGATATCTTCATACAACACCTCATGTCAACCCATAAACACATAATTACATTGACAATGAAGCAGGGGTGGACCTACGAAATATAAAGAAAAATGAAAACACTCAAATACCATGAAAAGGGGCTCATGGCCTTGTGGCATGGAGGCAACACTTAGGTGCTTGCAAGGGAGAGGTTGGGCATTCAACTCCCCCTAGGAGCTAATCTAATAACTAACAATTGACTTTTGCAAATCAAAATAAAAAAAGAAAAAAGAAAAAAGAAAAAAGAAAAAAGAAAAAAGGAAAGGGTAATGCCTAGGGTACTACATACGCTTCTCCTCATCTTCTTTTCTCTCTTTGGTCTTTAACATCGTATCAAAGTTTTGATTCTAAGAGGCCTTGGGTTCTAGTCTCATGTATTCTTTTTATTTTATTTTTATCATGCACTCTATGCAGTTCAGTTTGTTCTCTTCTCCACATGCAAGCTGGGGTCGCATGCGAGTGGCGTGTTGGATAGCTTGATATACAACTTTAGCTTTTGGGAATTCATTAACTTGGCAAACATTTTGGCATTTGTTTATATGCTATTTCATTAGAAATCAAAAAGGTTAAACTAATGATTTTAAGTGATATCCAATGTGGAGTTCGGGCTGTAAATTTGATACATATATGTTGTCTCTCTCTGGTGTATTCTTATTAACAGGATGCATATCTTCTTATGGGTAAACCAAAAAGCTCATACCTTTTCTTATTCATTTTTCAGGATTCGGATGCTACTATTCGTAAAAGGGCCCTTGAACTTGTGTTTCTTCTTGTGAATGAAAGCAATGTAAAGCCTTTGACAAAAGATCTTATTGAATGTCTGGAAGTGAGTGATCAAGAGTTCAAAGGAGATCTTACAGCCAAAATTTGTTCCATTGTCGAAAAGTAAGTAGATAAATATTTAATTTAAAATTTGAAGTCTCCTTGTTGAGAATTTGCAGAGTGGTTATGAATAAATGCCATATAATGGACTCTTAATATGTATCTATCCAATCATCTGAACACAAAAGACCCTGCAAACAAGGCTATTTCATACTCTGTAGGAATTTAGATTATTGTTTTTGGCTTTTACTTTTTTCAGATGATATTCTTTTCCTTTTGCTCTTCCTTATTATTGCTATAGATCTAGCTTCCCTTCCTTTATGACACATGGCAGAGTGTTTGTTTGGTAAATATGTATTAGTAATCTAACACATTGCAATATGATTGGTTGAGATGATAAGTCATTAGAGTATACTGAACATATATTGCCCTCCTTAGAGCCCACTTTAGTAGGAACGTTGTGCCCTGGTTTGCCCCCCTCCACACCCACACCCCCCCCGGTCTTGCAAATTTTTTTTTTTTAAAGTTTAGTCTGTTTTATTTTCATTTTCTGCTGTAGGTTTTCCGCGGAAAAGATTTGGTACGTTGATCAGATGATTAAGGTTCTCTCTGAGGTATGCATGAAATTGCTAATCTGGTACATTTTTCGTGTGAAAAAGTATATTTGTAGGCATCTACACTCACCCACTGAGATCTCCTACTCAACCTACCCAAAGACAGATTACCACCCTTTCTCTATTAAGTGTAAGATTCCTCCAGAGATTCCTTCATCCACTGCACCTTGAAACCCACCAGCATCATCAATCACTGTACATTCCAACCCTTCTGAACAAACACCACCGTGTATGAGAGTATATGCCATTGTCAATGATCATGTCTTTTGAAATTGTTCATGTCATCTTCTAGATCCAAGCATTTTTTTTTTTTTAATTTCCATATGAGTTCACATTGAACCTGCGGATTTATACTGTTGCTCGCATATAATGCTACAACTCACCAGTCGTGCTGCTGCTGCTGCTCAATAGTTTTCTTTCTTATCTGAAAATTCTCTCATGCCATGCCTGTAAAGTGTCGTTATGACAATTTTTTATTTTGTTTTTTAAATCTTTCTTTTAGCTTTCTTTGATGTAGGTAATGGCACATTTGGTAAAATTCTGATCCTGACACTATTATTAGTAGGCAGGAAATTTTGTAAAGGATGAAGTTTGGCATGCCCTTATTGTTGTGATAAGCAATGCTTCAAACCTCCATGGATATACAGTACGGTTTCTATACAGAGCAGTCCAAACAGCAGGTGAACAGGTACTTCATTTTTTTTCTTTCTTAGGATAAGATTTGGTATGGAAGTTCTATCATCTTGAGTAATTAGTGAAAAATGATTTTGATATTTTCATCAGGAAAGTCTTGTCCGAGTGGCAGTTTGGTGCATTGGAGAATATGGTGAAATGTTGGTCAATAATGCTAGAATGCTTGATATAGAAGAACCAATGACTGTAAGTTTGCTTCTACAAATTTTTCTCGACTTGGATTTCTTTGTGATTGGTTCTCATTTAATCTGATTGTATCATATGCTATAACAAGTCAGCGATAGGCATGCATTATGTGAAGTTTTCAATTGTCAAACCTTTTCACAATACAATCTTCAAAATTTGGATTGGAATTTGTAAACGACTAATATGATTAATTTATAGGAACTAATATTAAGCTATTTTTTGATGATTAGATAATTGGGAAAACATGAAATGTTGATAGCTTCTAGTAACTGATTGGTTAGTGTTGGTACATAAATTTTAACCAAATTTATGTTTAAAATTCAAATACAGTCAATGACACACATAGAGCCTATGATAGGAATGTTGTAGGTAATCACTTCCTAAAAAGGATCAATATGATCTGTTGAAGTACATAAATAAAACAACGTTGTATCTCAACGATGTTATTCAAGATGCTCAAGTGACATGCGGAGCATACGAAAGACGACACTTGTAGAGCCGACAACAAGGACACCACACAGGATGAAACCCCAAAGATCAATCTGGTTAATCAGATACACGATTAATCATTGCTATCATTCAAAATTCAAATAGCGCTATCATTCAATTTGAAATTCAAATTGAGGATGAAACATTCTTATCACGTAGATGGCCTTCTATAAATATGAGGACCATCACACAAGACCAAGGATCAAAAAATCAAAAGTGAGAATATCAGAGAGAGAAAGAAATCAAGAGCTAGAAGAAAATAAGCCTAGAGAACTCAAGAGCCTACGCTACAAACGCAGAATATGGCGATGAATAGGTAAAGGGTTCCAAATCCAAGAATTGTACTTTGTATTCGAGGGTTCAAAACCCATAACAATTTCAATAAAATATTTATTTATTTTTCTTAAATTGTCTTTTGTTGTTTATTTTGTTCTTCATTAAACGGAGGTTTCATTTATAAAATGTGTAATTAACGATCTGAAATACAGATCGGAAATAGGAACCTGCTATTCAAATAATCAACACTGTTTAGTCCAAAAACTAAACAGTGGACATTTGTAACATAAAATTTTGAAATGTGTTGAAACACTTCATGTTTTAAAATTTGTGTCTACAGTTAGCATATTGCATGAAATTGAATATACATTTCTGTCACATTTCTGGTTCTGTCTGATGTGTTCTGAGTCATTTGATCATAAACAAAAATGTAGTAGCATGTTGAACATACAACTCCTTGCTACCTGTTAAATTATTTATTTATTTTTTTCCTCTTTTGGATTCTACAACCTAAACATTTTGGTTACGAGTTCTTTAACTGAGTTAAGAAGTATCTGTTTGAAATTTCTTGTAAGAGTTACTGCAAACATGTTGGGAGGGTTAGACTTTTCCTATTGACTTATAATGAAAATTTCAAGCTTTGTTTTCATTATTTTCCCTAGTCCTTTTGGAGATTTGGTTGATGATCAGAAGCAAAAGGCAAACCTTATCTTCACTTTCTTTGTGATTTTCTATTACAATAAAGTACTTTAGCATATGCCTTAAATTTTGTCCTATTCATTGTCTTCGGGTGTGGCATAAATTTATGCTCCTACCATCCTGCAAGGATTAGCCTTCGTTTGTGTTTTGACTGTCATGCTGTGTTGTTTGTTATAAGAATTCTAAGACATGAATTCCTGCTTGCCACAATAGACCTTATCATAATATTGATTAGGAGTCTAATCGAAAAATGAAAAAAAAAAAAAAAATCTAATTTATTGAGTAATTATAAGAATGTGAATGTATTGATGAATTCAAACAAGGGTGACTGCTCTAGGAAACCACAAATAATGAGGAATGATATTGGAGAACCAGTCTTAACGAGGTAAGGTGTGAATGCAGTACTTGCATCTCCTTATAATATGAACATTTTCCAAAGGTTTGCTCTCTTTATATATGTCACAAGCTATGCAACCTTCTCCGTTTGTTGTAATTGCTGTTTAAACCTCTCACTTTAATACTACATTTCCTTAGCCTACGGTCCATTAGAACATCTTCTGCTAGCCATTCAAATTTCTTCAATTGTCATTGCATCCTCTTGTCATCTTGAACAGTTGAACATAGAACATCTTCAATTGTGATCTTCAATTAGTAAGATTCGCTCCCCTTGAACATCTTCGAATGTCATTGCATCCTCTTATTAAAGTCTCATCTTCAATGTTGATCCTCTGGTTGTCATGTGTGCCAACCATCCTCCATCACATGCTGCTACTTTTTAGCTCTTATTTCTTGGTGCTTTTTTGATGATTCCTTAGTTCCATTTGTATCTTTTGCCTTGTTTACTACATTTCTTTGAATGTTTGATGGGAGGCTCTGCAAGCATGTGACATGACTTGGGGAGACATCATGATGAAATAGTTTTTATTAATTTCTCCTGAAATTGTTTGACAATCAAACATTAATTCAAGTGACTTTGAATGGTTCTTGCTCCTGGTATTGTTCTTAAGTAATGTATGGGTTCTGGATGAGAATTTATTGAGAATTTCTCTTGAATCACTCTATCCTCGTTCCACAGTGCCATCTCCTTTGTGTATGACAAAGGAGCTGACTAAGACAACATGTTGATAGTTGACAAGTATGTTGTTTCCAATGTCAAATCAATCTAATAATTTGTGGCATGATAATGGAATTGTTTCTTAGCAAAATCTCAATGCTTTGACTGGTTAGCTTGTGTTATTAGTTTTGTTGTATTTTCTTTGTCGCATCTGTATTTTTCTTTCTTTTGAAGAACCTAGATGTTCTTTGCAGGTATCAGAGTCTGATGCAGTGGATGTCATAGAGATAGCTATAAAGTGCCATAGCTTGGATCTCACCACTCGAGCGATGTGTTTGATTGCTTTGTTAAAGTTGTCTTGTCGCTTTGCTGCTTGTTCACAGTATGTTTTATATTCTTTCATTTCTTAGTTTGGAAATAGTTTTTATTAATTTCTCCTGAAATTGTTTGACAATCAAACATTAATTCAAGTGACTTTGAATGGTTCTTGCTCCTGGTATTGTTCTTAAGTAATGTATGGGTTCTGGACGAGAATTTATTGAGAATTTCTCTTCAATCTCTCTATCCTCGTTCCACAGTGCCATCTCCTTTGTGTATGACAAAGGAGCTGACTAAGACAACATGTTGATAGTTGACAAGTATGTTGTTTCCAATGTCAAATCAATCCAATAATTTGTGGCATGATAATGGAATTGTTTCTTAGCAAAATCTCAATGCTTTGACTGGTTAGCTTGTGTTATTAGTTTTGTTGTATTTTCTTTGTCGCATCTGTATTTTTCTTTCTTTTGAAGAACCTAGATGTTCTTTGCAGGTATCAGAGTCTGATGCAGTGGATGTCATAGAGATAGCTATAAAGTGCCATAGCTTGGATCTCACCACTCGAGCGATGTGTTTGATTGCTTTGTTAAAGTTGTCTTGTCGCTTTGCTGCTTGTTCACAGTATGTTTTATATTCTTTCATTTCTTATTAGTGTATCTATTCTGTGCAATTTTCCATATGTATATATTACTTGTGACTTTTCATATATCCCCAGAATTTGTGAAGTTTTAGAAAATGCCAGACATGAGATAGAATATCAAGAGCTCTTTGGTTTATTTTGGTCATGTAATTCAATTTGGATCTATAATTCCCGTATGTCATTGTTTACCATTCTCTTATTTAGGCTTTATCTGTCATAGTTTGTAAATATAGTTGGCTGCTGAGCAGCTAAAAGTTCCTTTTGTAATACTTATCTATTGTTTGTAAGTTTTTGTCAGTTCTTTCTCTATGAAAAGGCTTTGACTTCTCTTCTTGAAATATCATCCTGAGTCTAATAAGTCCAGTTTTTCCATTTTGTTTAAATAGGTTCCGCATTTCGTTTCCTAGATTGCTCTTCACCTACTCCATTTGTATTTATTAACAAACTTATACTAGTTTAGCTCACTTTTAAGAGTATATCACTAAAGAATTTTCATGGGTAATAATTAGAAACTAACTCTTCAAAATTAAGGGCTTTAACATTTTCGAAAATTTCCAGGTGTGAATCATCTGAGTTAATGTAATTCTTTTGTAAAAGTGAATCCTTATTAATTAAGCAAAACTCTTTGCGATTCTATTTATTCAGGGCCTTCTAACCATCATTACTGTTTGTTCTAAATGGAGGAAATTTAATGAACATCCATATTCTGTTGAGGAAAGACTATTTCCTATTTTTCTATCTGACAAGATTGGTACAATAAGAAGTCACTTTTTTGGGTCTCTGTTTTTCGTATTCAAGAAAAAAAGGTTTGATTTGATGTTGTACAATTTCTGCTTATATCAGCTCTATGTTCACTTTTTGAAAACTTCATTTATTATAACGTCTTCTATTTTGCCACCCAAAAGAATTAATGTGTGTTAAAACTTTTTACTACCACTATAATTTCTTTCTTTCTTTCAGTTTGGTATTTTTAATCCATTGTGTAATCTTTCTCTTAGTATTTTCATGGCTTTTTATGAATTGAGATATGATTGTACATTAAATATTCTCTCTAGGAGGATAAAGGATATAATTGTTCAATATAAAGGAAGCTTTGTGCTTGAACTGCAGCAGAGATCAATTGAATTTTGTTCAATCATCGAGAAGCATCAGAATATCAGGTATGCTTTCATTTACATTACTAAAATGACTAGCTTTTAATCTTTTACTTTTCCTCTTTTTTTTTTTGATAGTTTATGAATTTAGTTCCCTTCTGTATCTTACAGAGAAGCTGGCTGAGTGTGTGCAGGTCTGTCCTTGTTGAAAGGATGCCAGTTCTAGATGAGGCGACTTACAGTGTAAAGAGGGTTGGTTTTTTGCCAAGAACTGTTTCAACTTCGACTGGAGCTTCACTTGATCTTCCAAATGGAGTTACAAAATCAACAACTGCCCCTCTTGTTGATTTACTAGATCTAAGTTCAGATGATGCACCAGCACCTAGCCCTTCCGATGGCAATTTTCTTCACGATCTTCTTGGTGTTGACTTATCACCAGCTTCATCACAACCAGGTTAGTTTTGGGATGCACAAGGTATAACAATTTTATGAATACCAGTGAAACTTACTTATTGTCTACTACTTTTGTTTCCAAAATATGTTAGCTTTAATAATTTGTTCTATGTTTTAATACCACCTTATGGAAAGACTTAGCCTTCCTTAAAATCATGGCATCTTTAAAAAAAATCTGATTCTTCTATTTTTTATTGCTTTGACGTGTGTTATTATGAGATGAACTCATTAATCAAACATTTGCCATTAAGAATTGGTGATAAATTGAATTTGGGTGATTGACACGCTTAACACACTTGCGAAACACGTGTCTATCACTGTGCGGGGAGCAAATATCCAGGCGAGCCCGCACTCCTAGCTTCCAAACTTCGTTTCTATCCGATCACCTGCGTACACAACAGCGGTGAGCTACCCGGCGGTGTGTGGCCGGAAAACCCCTCCGACGATCAAGTTAGCACACACCTGAGGATAGAGAGAGTGAGAAGTGAATGAAGCTCCACGCCGGAGCAAAGTTACTGACTTTCTCCGTGCTCCAACACCTCCTCCGGACCCATCTCTGCCGGACGTGCCACTAATCCGGCTGACCGAAATCTACTCTCAGTGATCTCTGGACACGTGATTCTGCTATCCCATCTGTCAGCACAGATCTTACTAAACATCACCTAACCCGACTGCCAGCCCACTCTATTGGGAGCTCGGCAGCTGGGCTGAATCTTCTCGGCTGTCGACGGCCATGCTGTGTTCCATGCCCCATTGCTCCAAGAACCGAGATCCTTTCCAGCCATGCTCGGCAGCATTTCGGTGGAGCCGACCTTCAGACTGGTTGTACCGGTCAACCAAAGGGCATCCAGCCGGGCTTCTGGCACAAGCTTCTTGACCGGGCTAACGGTGCGAGCCCTTGACCGAGCAACGCAAGTTGCGCGGTTATCACTTGCGCAAATCCAAGTTGCTCGGTCCATCTCTGAGCAGCCCCAACTCCGGGCAAATCCAAAGTTATCGCAGCCCAACGCACCATTGGGCCTCCAATTTGCTCGGCCTCTAACTTGGCCCATAACCGGCTCGTAATTCTCCCTCTCAATTGCCCCTTAATTCCGTCCGCACAAGCGTGACCGGGATTACCAAATCTGACCGGGGTAACACTTCCTCGGTCCTCGGTTCGCAATACGGTGACCAGGCTACTTGACATGCCTGTCTTCAAAACTTGCCCGGTCGATGTCTCGATTCACCATCCTGTCTCTTCAATACTGACGCTGCCGTCAATAGGGACGCGTGTCGTGGGTTGATTGGCCTCGAGCAGCCAAACATCACGTCCGTTCAGATTCAAATTTTTGGCGGTCTTATTCATCTCTATAAACATATTGAACCTTCGTTCATTTCAACCTTAACGACTCTCTCTCCTTCTTGCCGACCCAGATCTTCTGCCAACGTTTGCTTGCCATTGCTGAGTTCGTGTTCGAAGAAGAAGACTTTGCCCTCTCCTGGTAAGCTCTCCAAACCCTTGTTATTACTGTTTTCGTTTCATATGTTTCTTTTTTATAGCACCAAATCCGTAGGTTTAGGGCCTCCCCCACCCAAAACCTCCAATGCCCCTTAGTTTCTTCAATGTTCTTCAATTTCCCTGATGAACAATGAAGATTTGGGGCGGACCGGGCTCCAGATCTTCATTCGATCCAAAAAATCACTCAGACCGAGCAAATCTTTAGTTTGTCACAATCCTTAGGAAAAACCGGGGTAGCAAAAAGGACTTGGCCGCTCGACCGGGCTAATCTCTGGTTCGCTCGGACGACCGAGCTCCTTGGCTAACATTTACGACCGAGGTGGTTTTGGCACAATCCACGATCGAGCTCAACTCTGGCTTGTTTTGCGCGACCGTGCTCCCACTTACAATTACCCTCCGTTTTCCTGCAGAGTCCAAGGGGACCAAAGACCAATCCTGAGGCTCTCAAGGACCGAGCAGCCATTAATCCCTAGCCTGTGCCAAACCACCTCAGCCGAGCTAGATTAGTCAGTCAAACATGGGAAAATTCCGCTTCCTTGTGGACACACCTGTTGCCTTGGCTGCCTTCAGGGAAGAATACGGTATCCCGGTAGATGTCCACATAGAGCTCGCCGAGATGGAAACAACCCTTTGGGGCAGGCTTGACCAATGCCCCTTCACCGTGCTGTCAGTAATTGAAGGAGGCCTCCGCTTCCCGGTCAACCCTTTGATGACTGAATTTCTGCATCGCACCGGGCTAGCACCCACTGAGGTTTCGACCAACACCTACCGAATAATCAATGGCGTGCACGAGCTAAATAACCGGCTAGGAGCAAACTTAGGTTTAGCCGAGATACTACGACAATACACCCTTGGGCACACCGGCAATGGCCTGGCCTACTATTTAAAAATAAGACCGGGCAAAGAGAAGATAGTAACCGGCACCCCAGACAAGGATTTACACGATGACGACTTCTTCTGGGTGTCTGGCAACTATGAAACAGCCGACGTACCGGGCTGGTTTATCAGCAAGAACTTTGGTTCCACATGTAAGTCGCGCTAATTTGCTCGGTTAAGTCCCTGCCTTCAACATTCTGTACTTACTATTTTTCCTGTTTCTTTTGCAGCAATTCAAGTCTTGCAATCCAACTACCAATATCCCAACGTTGAAGCCATCCGAACTGTGCTCCGTTACAGCCACCGGGATTGTAACGAGTTGCTCGGCTACACTCCAACCTACAGATACTCAGCTCCACGCCGGAGCAAAGTTACTGACTTTCTCCGTGCTCCAACACCTCCTCCGGACCCATCTCTGCCGGACGTGCCACTAATCCGGCTGACCGAGGAACAAGAGATGGCAAAATGTAGCCGCATCAAGAACCTCCTAATAGCCACCTCAGCCGAGATACCGAGCATCACTACACACTCGCAAGCTGCCGGACAATCCAGCGGCCCCGTGGTCGCCTTGGCCTCTCCAGGTGCCGGGCAACCCAGACAAGAAGCTCACCGGGCTGGCAAAAGGCCTCGCGCAGACCCATCTACCGAGCTGGTTGCCGAGTTGACCACCGAGCAACCCACCGTTACTGTCGACCCAACACCACCATGGCGACCGTAGTTGAAGCACCGGGGAAAGGACATTCCGGCAACCGCTTCCATCAAAGGCGACAAAGAGCACCTGCTCACCTTTGACCTTTCCAAAGCCCTTCTCCTACCGAGCGACGTGGTCGGCAGCGACACCCGGTTGGTGAAATCTTCTGTAAAGTCCATGGCCAGGGTAAGTCTCAATCTTTCACTAAAATTTTTACCAAGTGTTTGCACGGTTTCTTTTCTGATCAGACTGTCTTCTTGCAGGCCATCCAGAAGCAACACTTGGTCATGGAGCGAATCCATCGACTGCGGCAGAAGGCGAATGACACTGTCGGCCAAGTCCAGAGCCTGCAGACCGAGCTTGGCCGAGCAAAATCCGCACTTCAAATTGCCAATGCTGACAACAACAGGTTGCTCGGCCAGCTTGAGGAGGCCGAGAAGAAGAGAGATGAGCTCCAGGCCGAGCTGGACGCACTCAAGGCGTCAAGGGAGAAGGAGTGCGAAGATGCCAACAACACCGACTTCAAGGAAGCCGAGGACAGCTATAAGAAGCAAGTCTTCGCAACTCAAGACATTTATTTCAAAGCCGGCTGGAAGTTAGCCTGCGAACATCTCGATCAAGGTCCTGACACTGATGTGTTTGCCGCTCCCCCGGTTGCCTTCCTACCGGTCTACCTCGTGCCCTATGCCAACGACGTCTTCAGCGCGTTGCAAGCTGAGGCCGAGGAAGAGCTTGCCACAGAAACCGAGGTCAATGCCGAGGAGGGAAGCGGCCAAGAGCAGCTCGGAGAAACTGTGACCGGTGTCCAAGAGCGAACAACGGTTGACCTAGAAGCGGCTGATGACGAATTCTCCAATCTTTCCCCCCTTGTGTAGTTTTCTTTCATTTTTTGCTTTGCAAATGTAACCGGGCTCTCTGCCCCTCCTTTTGTACTTTTCTGTTTAATTAATGAAAAAGATCTAGTTTTACCAAGTGTTTGCATGGTCAACCGGACAGAATATGTTGGCAAGACAAATTTCATTAACTCATATAACTGGAATAAATCATCTCGGTAGTACACCTAGAGTCGAGCAAAACTTCAAGTCTTTCAACCGGAGTGAACATCCCGGTTTAGATTACCTAAGTTGAACAAAACATCAACTTTTCAACCGGATTAATCATCTCGGTTGAAATACCTAAGTTGAACAAAACATCAACTTTGCAACCGGATTAATCATCTCGGTTGAGAGTACCTAAGTTGAACAACAGATCAACTCTTTCAACTGGAATGAACATCTCGGTCGAGAATACCTAAGTTGAACAAAACATCAACTTTGCAACCGGATTAATCATCTCGGTTGAGAGTACCTAAGTTGAACAGCACATCAACTCTTTTAACCGGAGTAAACATCTCGGTCGAGAATACCTAAGTTGAACAAAACATCAACTTTGCAACCGGACTAATCATCTCGGTTAAAAGTACCTAAGTTGAACAAAACATCAACTTTGCAACCGGACTAATCATCTCGGTCGAGAATACGCAAGACTCAAAGCAACAAAAAATGACAAGGCAAAGATGAGTCACTTCTATATATATTGACAAAAATGAATATTACATTGAAGTGTAAGGCAAAAAATTTCTTTGCACAAAAAAGAGGGCAAAAACTAGAAATAATACAACTTCAGGTTGGCTGCATTCCATGGCCGGGGTATTCCTCTACCATCCAAGTCTTCCAAGTGATATGCCTCCTTGCCCGCCAGACCGGTTATCTTGTAGGGTCCTTCCCAATTTGCCCCTAGTTTGCCTTCGCCTGGCACCAGGGTATTGCCCATGACCTTCCGCAAGACCCAATCACCCATTTTGAACGGTCTGGGGTGCACGGATTTGTTGTATTTCCTTGAAAGCTTTTGTTGGTAGGCGGCCACATGGATAAAAGCCTTTTCCCGGCGTTCTTCC